CGCCCCGATCTAGGTAAATTTTCAGTTTTCCCTGTCTTCTTGTATCTGTCAATAATTCTTCTTATTGTGGTGGGGTCACGACCCATTTTTCTTGCTATTTGTGCAGGGTTAAAATTCTCCATATATGCTAGTATTTTTCCTTTATCTTGAGAAGTTAACTCAGTTCTATGTGACATTATTTTTTTAACTTTGCAACGTGTTTATTAGGTTATGAAATTGTGAGAAAAACATTTAAAAATAAAAAAAAGGGGGTATAAATAATGTAAATTTTGTGTATCGTAACACCGTACAAAATCGGGCGTCACTTTCAGACCCGACTGTACATTACATCGGTACACTTAAATTTAGCATAATTATGTACCTATTGCACATACTATTTTGATTATTAATATTAGCGTTATCATTTTTTGGCTAGATTTATCAAAACAATGTGTATAATCAAGATCATAAAATTGATACATTCAAATAAAAAAAATTGAAAAAAAATAACAAACGCAAAAGAATAAGAAAATAAAGCTATTTTTTTATATAGTAAATCATTATTTTTTTTTACAATATAAAACGATAATAAAATATGACTTTTTGAATACTAATTATGCGTTTTCTTGTCCTCCTATTAATTAATGTTTTTGTTGCGTTAGTGAAATGAGTCTGATTAAACCCATATACGATATTTTAAATAATCACTTATTTGTCTAATAAAACCACCATTTTACAAATAGTTAGTGTAATTTTTTCTATATATTATATACTTTATTTATAATATTAACATAAAATATACTATTTAATTAATTAATTAAAATAGATAAAATAAAAGTAAAATATTAAATATGAGTAGCTATATCGGTCACAGGACCGATATAGCCCCACATCCAATAAATATGTTATCGTTCTGACGGTTTTGATCATGCATGAATTAATAACATCATAAATAAGCTTTTTTATTTAAACTTTTCCTACAAACGCCATTTTTTTTACTCCACTTTATTATATCAATCATGTGTTATTGCTATGGCTAATAAAAATGATCCCATTGGGCTGAACGATAATAATAATTATAACGCCTTTTTAATAATCATATTCTCTTTTAAGCTTCGTTGAAGAATTTTGATTAAAAAAAAAAATCATTATGAATAAAATTACTTTGGAATGTTATCCTAGTCAAAAATTTCGTGAATTTTTTTTTTTCTATTTCGTGTATCTTTTAATTTATTCAGGAGGAATTTTATATTTTAATCATTCCCTGTGATGCAAAAATACGCTGATCTTTTTCAGCCGCGGTCCTGCATGCTGAAGATCAGCAAACTTTCGACATAGAAAGTCTAGTGATCCCATTTTTTTACTTATAAATGGTTAAACAAAAATATTTTTTCATTTATTTTCAATTTTTATTCTCCAATTTTTGAAGTGTAAATTGTAAAATTAACTTCCGCGGTAAGGATTTTTAGCAATGTCTTGAACTTATTAACGATTTAAATTATTGGAATAAGTGGATTGAAGATTCCACTTATTAAATATTATGAATTTGAACAATTTTGTTATATTCAAGTAATTGGTTCCGGTGGCTTTGGAAAACAGATTGGAAGGACTCTCGCAAATGCTGTGCACTTGAATCCTTTTTTTAATTTCAATGACGCTACGGTTAAAAAATTGTGAGGTAATTTTAATATCGAACATATTTCAATTTATTGTATATATGTACATTTTTGACATTAATAAAAATTTACTTACTGCTAGATTCAATTTCAACGTGAAGTAGATTTTCATGACAATATTATCCGTTTTTATGGTGTCAAAAGTTTTAATAATAATAATTTTTTTTTTTATAATAAACGGTGATTAATTAACTGGTTTATGATTTTTTATTTTTTCTCTTTTTTAAAGATGACCAAAGAAAAGAGTATATGTTAGTAATGGAATATGCCGACAATGGAACTTTCCGAAAATATTTGAAGGAAAATTTTGAAAATCTCACTTGGAATGACAAATTTAATCTTGCATTCCAGTATCATGTTTACATATTAAATAAAGGGATCATGCATCGTGATTTGGTAAATATTTTATAATTTATTGTGATTTAATTTAATGATTATTTTATTCTTAACGTTAAATTTATTATTGATAGCACTCCAATAACGCTAAAGCTAGCAGATTTTGGTTTATCAAGAAGAATTGAGGAAACATCTAACTCTCAATCAAAAACATTTGGAGTAATTTCTTATACTGATCCAAGAAGCTTTAATAGAAATACATCAACATTATACTTATTAAATAAAAAAAGTGATGTTTATATCATTGGAGTATTATTATGGGAAATATACGGCGGTCAACCTCCTTTTCATGGTATACCATATGATGTTGATTTGGCTACAAAGAAATTTCAAAAATTGATATGTTAACATCATCTCATAATAATGCATTGCAAGAAATAGGCTGGAATAAAAATATTAAGCCCATTTCAAGTAACGAGGTCAAAATATATATAACAAATGGTAAGGATAATTCCGATAGAGCGTATAAAATAATAATTTTTTTTAAAGAATTATCACCGATAAATGATCATTTTTCTAATTTTTGAAAAAACTCAGACACGTGATCATGTTTCTGAAAAATTTTTTATAGGGAACGTATAGTGTTCTACATGATCGTAATACAAATAACATAGATAATAATCTATGACCAAGAATGAAGAGACTTGGATCATATTTGGGAATGTGATTCGAACGAATTTTCCGAACTATGGATATTAATTGAAATGAAGAATCATCAGAAAACACGGTTATGTCCAATAACTCATTATCAGATTATCATTATGATAACGCAAGAAGATTCAAGAGTTTTAATAAATTCTAAAAATAAAAGATTATGAAATAACAAAAGAGGGTTAAATAATAGAAAATTCGACACATTAATAATAGAAAATTCGACACATTAATAATAGAAAATTCGACACATTAATAAAGAACAAAGATCGTATAGTCGTTGAAATGATTTGGACGCATTATTATGACAATATTAATATTAAGAAATAGGTTTGGAATAAAAGATGTGAGGAAGTAATAAAAATAGAAATAATATATATATATATATAAGAGAAAACATAGAAAGTACCGGGAAGAAACGGAGGAAATATCAAATATTATTAGCAAAGAAAAATGAAAAAACCACAAAAAAATGAAAAAACGGAAATAATACGAAAAATATAGTCAAAAATAGAATTGTTAGTAACGACATTTTAATCAATAGACCGGTTAAAAATGTATGGATCTTAGTCCGTTAGAATAGTGAAGATTATAATAGTAGTTTTTTTATTTTATAACCATAGCAATCTATTTTTATTGCATTAGCAGATAGTTTTAAACCTACTTGTTTTAACCCGAAATACTTCTATAATTTATGTATCTAATATATTTAATAAAAAAAAATCAGCGAATCTAAAAAATATTAGATTTCCTCTTTCTCGGATCTTCAGTTTTTAAGGAAGGTCTATAAAAAAAAATATGCGGAATTTATATAATGTATATTTGTTATTTTATAACCCGAAAAAATTTATTATTTAAAGAGATGATAAAAAATCTCTCCTGTCGATCACTCAATCAAAAAATATCGGAACGAGATAAATAACGGAAGAGTTATATGAAGTTGCTGTTTTTGTTTTTGTAGGAATATTCGTTTGTTGAAGAATCCAACTTGTCTGTCTTTTATACCTGAGAAATTACGGTCAAGATGTAGAGACTCGAGTTTATTCGACAAAAAGACAAACAAAAAAAAAGCCGATTTTCTACGGAACTTACTTTATAGTCAGTGTCAGTTTTGAAAAGCTCTTTACGGTGGGTTGGTCTTCGAAGTCCTTAATTATGGTTCTCATTATCGTCCATAAAATTTCCTCGTCGACCTCTGACGAAGGCCCGGAGCAGTTCTGCGCAAAGTTTCACAAACGCAAGTTCTAACATGGAAATTTAGAAGGGTTGGGGATTCAATCGGGATAAATAAATATTTTTCTGCGTCGGTCATGATACGACGATCTCGGAAAAAATTTAACCGCACAATGGATTTACATGAAGTTAATGAATGGCTGGTTCATAGTTGAATTTTCCTAAAAAAGTTCAAGGATATCCTGATATCCAAGATCGCAGCTAATCACGCCAGTGGTAGAAGAAAGAAAGTAGAGCTTAATAGTGTAGTTAATGCTTATAGTTAATCGTTTTGAGCAACGGTATTTGTTAGTGTAAGTAGTGGTACAGAATTTTAACACGAATTTTTGGTGTACGGCGTTCTGTACATAGACGTAAATTGTAGTCGAGGTTTCTTTTTGGTAACGCAAATATTTAGTTAACGTAAAATTTCTAGTTTGTGAGTTATATACATTTGTATCCTAGAAATAAAATTATTTGGCGCAGCGAAAAAATCAACTGATAAGATCGGCAGAAACGGTACGTCGGTACGCTATAACAGATAAATAATGCGCACTATAAATATTATACGAAGACCGCTACAGCAAAAGGTGGCAGTTTAAATTACGTAATCAATTTTGTAGTCATACAAAAATTGACTTTTTAACCATTTTTTTGCAAACAATTTAATAAGAAAATTGGCTTTCTTTTAATATATCCATTTATGGGAATTTTTCCATATAGATCTCTAATTCGCCTTGCCTTTGCCTTTACTTTTTCTTCATCATTATTTAAATCACCACGAATTTGAAACACAATACCTTCTACTAAACCCTTACTCAATGGTTCACCATATATTTGTTTCATCAAGATTCTGAATTAATGAAAAAATGGATGAGAAAATCTCAAGAGCTTAGAGAAACGAAATTATATTCATGGTTTAATGAGAGTACTGATAAAGAAATAATAACTTATGATAATGAAGATATCAAATCTTGGTATGAAGCACTCATCTCAAGTAATAAATAACTAAGTTCTTTTTATTTCTAAAACAAACAGAACTTTCTATAATTTATAATCAATATAATGAATTTGAATGTTAATTCAAATTTTTCAACATGAATCATAGCAGGTTTTTTTGAATAAAAAATATTTTTTTTTTCAATTTTTTTTATTTATTTATATTATTAAGAGAAATTTTTTTACATATATGAATGATAAAAGCGTGGGTATAGTTTATTTGGTTCTCAATTATGAAAAAAATTTTTTTATCTTTTATAATTAAAAATATCATTCTACAGTATAAAACATTAGGATTATTAAAATTAATTGCATATTATATTCCTAATCATTAATAGTTATTTCTAAATTAACATTTACGCAATATGTAGTTTTAATCATAATAAAATTGGAAATGGCTAATAATATTTCATTTGCATTTCATAAAGTTCCGCTTACAGATGAACATAATAAAGCCTCAGCATTCCAATTTTTGAAAAAAGATTTTAACCCATTAATGGTAAAAATCCATTTATAAACTTTGCATAATTTATCACAATTAAGAATATTTTCATTATATAATGAGAGATTTATCATTCTTAATTGATTACAGTTTAACAAATTTCTTTAATATCACCCAAATTTTCAAATTCAACCTCTATAATTAATCTCTCAAGATTTGGGCAATATTTAACAACACTATTAATTAATTTTTTTGATATAAACAGAATCTGGCCCTTGAGATATATTAATTTCTAAAATTTTACCATTAGATTTTTCAATTAACATATCGATATACACAGTGAAATTTGATAAACCGGATCCTCGATAAACCAGATTTGGGCCTAAACTGGACTTTTTTTGCTGGAACCAAATACTAACCAAATCTCATATATTAAAATAGTTTTGATATATCAGAGTTTACTAGTAAAAGCTCGATATTCGCTATAACGGATCAATTTTCTAACCAGCTATAGTAAAAAATTAGATAAATAGTATCACGTGATCATTAACCAATAAAATTTAAGTAACGAATCTTAATTTTGGCCAGAATTATAAAAATCTTAATTCTGGCTGAAGTTATGTATTACTTATATATTCAATTAAAAATATATTCATTTTCAAATTTCAAATAAAATGAGATTAAGCAAAAAATGACTGAAGAGAACACAACATATTTACAGATAAATATTCCATTCATAATTAGAAATTTATCCTAAATAATTTTATTTCACAGTTATCAGTATAGATTGGAAACTATGTAAATACAATAATTTTGGAAAATACTAGTGCAAAATTAAACCTGTAAAAAAGCCGCCCAAAAATGACATTTAGAATAACCAAGTGTTGCTATCAGTCTTATGACCAGATTTTGATACTATAAATTTTCACTCTACATGCTATACATGTTGTCGCAACTTTCCAAAATTATGGCCGAATCCGAAAGTCCAAAACTTAGGTCCGAAACCTCAGCCGAAATTCGAAAATCAAGCTGAAATCCGAAATTTTAGTCGGAGTACGAAAATCTTGACGAAATCTTTATTACGTGGTCCGAAATATTATTTTTTTTTAATTGGGACTCTTAAGAGTCCGAAAGTTTTTGTAATTCCGGCCAACATTGTAGTGCCGGCCAGAATTATGCCCGCGTGACTTCGGATAAAAGTTTAGCCACCAGGTAAGAATGTTACACAAGGAAAATTTCGCTTCGATGGAATTTTGTGTTACATAAATGTTACACAAACTTGTAATGCGGGCCGAAATTCAATAATGCTGGCCAGAAAATTTCGGCTCAGTTTTCGACTTTCGACCAGAGTTTCGTTTCGGAATGATTGGCCGAAGGTCGAATCCTGAAATTATGCCGAAATTGCCGAGTTTCGGCAACATGTATACTATATGCTTTGATAAGCATTATGGCATTTTGATTATACAACCAAAAAAATTCTGACCCCAGAATACTTAATAAAAATAAAAATTGGGTGAAAAATTTTATGGAGTTTGAAGATTTACATATTTACATAATCTGTTGAGTATAAGTGGAGCATCACAAATAAAATGGGTTAACCCTTAAATCGAAGTATATATGTATATATATATATATAACCGTTCAACAGTAAGTGATCTAGTAGTATCTATTGATAGTCTTCAATTTTTTCTATTGGTATAATCTGTTTTACTACGTAATATGATAATTGTAAATAATAATTTTTATTGGTATATATGGATATTTTATAAAAATTTATTTGAACTATTTGAATGATTAATCATTTTGAAAATTGAAGAGGCGGCGAAATAAAATTGACATTATTAAGTAAAAGAAAATGTAAATTGGTTTCATAAAAAAATTCTTTTATAATACTGCTCAATTACACACCGATTTGTTTGCGTAAAAAAATTTCATATACTTTACTATAAGACCATATCAATCAAATAATTCTTTAATAAATTAACAATCAAATTTTAGGAGCTTGAGTGGAATATAATCATAATAATACACTAATATGATATGTATACGGATTACAGATGTTAAATATTCATCCTATATCATTTAATGAAAATATAGTCAGTAATTCCTCCTTTATATTGTATTTGATTGATAAATTACAAAATTATGATAATTTACAATACTTTTAGAATAACTATTTTATTTTTAATTTAAATTTAATTAGTAATGGCACAATCTAAACAATCAGATATCTTATTTTCATCATAATGCGGAAGATTTTTTGTGAAAGGATTAAGTAATCGAGACGTATAAATAGCCTGTGAATGAGTGGATGATTGGTTATTTTCAATAGATATTTCTAGTTCCTTGAATTGTTCACCCTTTCCCGCAATAAAATTATCACGAAATGATAAGATCAATTTATCTATTTCAATAGCATTTGGTCTATTTTGCGGTTTTGAATCCCAACATTTATTCATCAAATCAATATAACATTTTGGTGCTTCTTGTTCATTTATTTCAGGCCTAATTCCATTACATATATCTAATGCTAAAACATTATCATGAGCATGATCAACAAAAGGTTGTTTTCTAGCTGCTACAAAATACATAATCATAGCAAAACTATATATATCTGCCGAATGAGTAGAAGGTTTTCCTCTTAATACTTCAGGGGCTACATAAGGCATAACTCCATAAATATTTGTTTTTGTTTCATCCATATTACCAACTTCTCCACATAATCCCATATCCGAAATAAATGATATGTCATTACCAAAATTACTGGTCATTAGTAATATATTTCCTGTATGAAAATCACGATGTACTAATCCTTTTCGATGAATTTCTTTAAGTCCTTTAATAATATTTTGTAATATATTGAGTCTACGTAACCAAGAAAAATTTTTATAATTTTTATTTACCCAATTATTAAGGTTACCATTTTCTGCATATTCGAGAACCATGATGTAATCATTTGTATCTGGAACTTGAGATATTCCATATGTTTTAAGTATACATAAACTAAAATTATCTGTTGAATATTTTTCAATCTAAATTGAACATAAAAAAAAGATTAATTTATAAAAAAAAAATCCAAATAAAAATTATAAAGAAATATTAATTTATCATACCTCATTAAAAAAATTATCAGTTATATTTTGTGAATTATTCAAACACTTTAAGGCAACTTTTTTGCATGTGTCTCTTATATATTCCATTTTACTAAAATCATAATATAATGGACCATCTTCCCATATTGCAGAATATATTACAGAAAAACCACCTTTATCTATTTCTTTAAGATTGATAAACTTATCATATGGTATCCATTCAAATACTAAAGTACCTGGATTATGAATTTTTAATTGCATTTTCTGAATTAAATCATCAATTTTTTTATTTCCACTTAAATTTGTAAATTTTTTAATATGACAAAATTTACACCATTCATATGTTAAATAATATTTACCACATACACAACGTTTATTTTGAAACACTATAATGTAATTTTTCATATTAGGATCTTGAGATATTCCATATATATTAAGAACATCAATTTTAAATTTATCAAATTTGTTTGTTATCCTACTAAAAATAAACAAATCTCATTATTGTATAACATGTATTAAATTTATTATAGAGAAATTTCATACCTTATTGAGAAATTCATACTGTGAATTGTCCAAAAATTTTAAGACGACTGTTTTATTTGAAATTCTTTTATATTCCCTTTTATCAACTTCATAATTCAATGGACCATCCTTCCATGTTGCTAAATATACTGTAGACAAATCATCTTTACCTATTTCTTTAATCTTTTCAAATTGATGATATGGTATCCATTCAATTATTATATCATTGTAATTACTGATTCCTAATTGCTTTTTTTGAATAAAGTTATCAACTTCTTCATTTCCACTAATATGATTAGTAAAATTTTCCCTTAAATCATTTATTTGGCACGTTTTACACCATTTAAATTGTATATTCTCAATTATATTATTACATAATGTACAGCATTCTTCATACATTATACCTATATAGAATCAAAATATAGTTTGCTGTATTTGGATTTTGGGATATTCCATATAATTTATGGTCATTAGAGTATTCTATTAAATATGTTTTAACCTATCAAAACGTAAATCAGATTATTATTGAATACAAGAATATACTAAACTAGGCTAATAAAAAGGGCCCATACCTTATATAGAAATTCGTCAGTTAATTGTATATTTTGGAAGACTATTAAAGCAAATTCATATTTCTTTGTATTCTCATTACTATATGTTAATTGACCATCTTTCCATTTTGTCGAATATACTGTCGCAAAACCAAGTTTTCCTATTTCTTTAATATCACCAAACTGGTTGTATGGTATCCATTCAAATATCACATCAGTTGGATGAGTAATTTTCAACTGTATTTTTTGAATAAAATTATCAACATTTTCATTTTCACTAGTCCAGTTTGTAAAATTATTTTTTAAATAATTAATTTGACATTGTTTGCACCATTTATACTGCATATCTGCAAACACTTTATAGCAATTTTTACAAATATATGTAGAAAAATATTCATCATTAAAAATTATGACATAATTTTTTATATCCGAGTTTTGGGATATTCCATATATCTCAATAATTGGACAAGTTAATTCAAATTGATTTGAACTAAATCTTGAATTTTTACATAATTCAATCTGTTATAAACAAAATATTATTATTTACTATTATGTATAAAGAAAAGTATTAAATAAATTTGTAAAAAATGTTATTACCATTACATCTCGTATTTTATATATTTCATATTTGCTTAAATTTGTACCACAATTTAATGAGCCATTTCTTCATATTACTGAATGTAATGTAACAAGGTTATTTTCCTCTATTTTTTTAATAAATTGTTCATATGTGTTCCATTTAAATACCATGTTAATATTTTCAATTTTTTCATTTTCAGTAATCCAATTTGCAGAATTTTCCTTTAAATAATTCATTTGACATGATTTACACCACTTATACTGTATATCAGCATATTCTTTACCACAATTTTTGCAATGATAATTACAAAAATATTCTTCATTAAAAATTATGATGTAATCTTTTATATCTGGACTTTGAGATATTCCATATATTTTTAAATAATTATAATCGAAGCCGCTTATAAAATATTTATTGACCTATTAAAATTAACAAAATAAAAAATTATTATATGTAAAGAAAAGCATTAATTTAATTAATAATAAACTAGCTGCTTTGCACCGGGACCAATGAGTTTTTTAAATAGAAAGATTTAGTATTATAATGTAATACTAAGTAAGTTAAAGAAGTCTTTTGTTTATAATTAGGAATTTAATATGGCAATAATTAGGTAACAAAAAATATGCATTAAATTATATTTATAATATTAGAATGATATAAATAATAAATTATTTTAGAATAATGTATTAATGATTTGATGGTTGAGTGTAGAGTGAAATTCGGATTAATTAGGAATTGTGAAAAAATAATTATCAATAAAAGTTGATTAATTTTTTCGAAGTATTTTTGAAAAAACTTTAATATTATGAACAAATATTTTTATTAATTAATTATTTATTTCTTATTATTTTATATTACGTCAATTTTAAACTTATAATCAACTTAGGAAAAATATTTGAACAATTAAATATTAGAAATCTGTTCATTTCATTTATTATTATTCTTTTGATACTCATCTTATTCGTTAAATTATCAAACCATTTGAATTAAAATTTTATTCAAAAATCTGGTGATTATTTAGAGAATTTCGGGATATGGATTTGGGTATAATAGTCATTATTAAATCAACAATTCTTTAATTAATAAATTAAGAAATATTGTAAAAATATCAATTTTTTTTGATTTTTATGAATTTGAAAATCAAACTATTTATCCAGCGCTCAATTTAATTGAAAATCTTAATCATCTTTCTGTATGTTATTATAATAAAAAAAATTGAAAGAAAAAAAAAAATTAAAAATAAATTTGAGGGAAAGAAAAAGGATAAAGAAAGAAATCGGTTCAAAAAAAGGGAAATTTCCAAAAAAAAAGGAATCTGAAAAAAAATAAGTTCCGAAAAAAATTCTGAAAAAAAAGGACAATAATTCGAAAAAAAAATATTTTTCAGTTTGGGAAAAAAAATTAAACCTAAACGGGATAATAATGAAAAAAACCAAAATTTTCTGTTTGAAAAAAAAAACTAAACCGAAAGAAGAAAGGGAGAAAAATTTTTTTTCAGTTTGAAAAAAAAACGAAAAATTTATCAAAAAAAAAAAATTTCCGATCAAGGTAAAATTTCATTAACTGAAATTGTATTAGTTGATTGGAATGTACACGGATAAATAGATCAGGTGGAGGCATGTCACGGGTTTTAATTATATGGCATAGGATTTCAAGTTACACAATTCAGAGACTAATCCAAATGTCAGACAAATTTTTTTAGTTATATAGTTTTTTAGATATATAGATTTATCAAAAAATTTATTATAGATTTAATTACAAAATATCTATATTATTAAAAACAATCTCACTAAAAAAAATTCGTTAATATCAAAAAAAAATTTCACAAATTTATTAGTCGGGAATAATATTGAAAAAAAAAATCTCATAAACTAACACTAAATCGAAAAAAAAATCTCTAAACAACTATAGTCTTGACCCAAACCAAAAAAAAGAATAAACTATATTTTTTGGGTTAAAAAAAATCCAAAATTTTGATAAATTCCAATTAAAAAAAAATCCCCTAAAAAAAATCTAATAATAAAAATAAAAAAATTAATAAAGACTAAAAAAGTAGTTTCGGTTTTTGGTAAAAACTGAAAAAATTATTATTATAGAAATTAACTAAGAGAGCGGAAATGACCGCAAATAAATGGGAAATTATACTCTTTTTTGTTAATATTAATCCATCAGAATAAAAAAAAAATCCAGTTAAATTTTAATTAACTGTAAATGTATTAGTTTAAAGATTTATTATCGTAATCAGTTAATTATGATATGATAAATACGAAATAGACACTTTTCAATGTTACACAATTCAAATTATTTATACAGGGTAATCTAAATATGACAAAATTTTTTAATTAGATAGATTGATACCTCATTAATCACATTTCGTATGTAAAATAAATATTTTAAAATGATTGCTCTACTTGGATAACTTTCATATTTGTTTGTATTTATATCATAATTTAATGAACTATCCTTCCATATTGCTGAATATAAATTTTTTCCTATTTTTTTAATATTGTCAAAATGATTGTATTGTAATGAAATTGGAACTAGTATTGATAGTTTGAATTGTATCGAAAGCAGCAATTCTAGGAAGTATACCTGGAATAGGTAATTTAGCATATTGTTATCAATATGATGGAATTGGTAGTGAACATAAAGTATATCAAAAGGCTGCAAATTTAGGATATAGCTCAATGCCGTCTTGCTTACATGTTTGAAATTGGAGACGGAATAGATAAAGATATGGACTAAGCATATCATTGGTATAAAAAATCTGCTGAACAAGGAAATAGAGATGCCCAAAATGAATTAAGATTAGGAAGAAACATAGTTCATGTAAAATAAGAATTTTTTTTAATTTTTAGTTTTTCGCTTATTAATATAAAAGTTAGGCTTAGGTTTATCCCCTTAATTATAAATCAAATATAATGTTAATTCATCATAAAAATATTTATTGTGAGTCGTTAAACACAATACCGTGCCCGCACAGGATACTTAGACTGAGATTTATTGTTCTTTAATTTGCCCTAAAAAAAATTACTTTAATAAAATTGAATTTAACAAAATTGACTTGTTGCATTATTAGAGAAATTTCTGTAAAAGATTGTAATGGGATTAAAGTATATTTTTTTGCTTGTTATTTTTTTCAATGAAGTTGTCTTAATAATAAATAAAAATGTTAAATTTAAGTGTTTATTTTACACTTA